GGCGCCCCCGCGGCCTCGGCCGCCTTTCCCGAGGAGCCGCTTCTCCCTCCGGCGTCCGGCGCGTGCCTCGGTCGCCCGCCCTGGCCCGCCGCCCCGGCCCGCCGCCCCAGCCGAAGCGCCCGCGAGGCGGCGAGGCGCCCCCGCGGGGAGGCTTGGCGCTCGCCCTTGCCTGGCCGCGGCTCTTCCAGCCGCCGCGGGCGCCGCTTTGGCCCCCGAGGTGCTTCTCGGGCAGGCGGCGCGCCGCGGGACGCTCGCGGACGGAGCAGCGCCTCGGTCTGCGCGCGCCGGTTGGAGCCAGCAGCCTGCCTTCCCGCCGCATCTTCCGTTTGGTTCCTGCTGCGAAGAGCGCGCGGAGAACAGAAGTATGTCCAGGGGCGAGGGGAAGGGCGAGCGCCTCTCTCCCGCGCGCTCCTCGTCTTGCCGGCATCGCTAAGCCGGACCTCGCCTCCCACTGGCTGTGAGTGGAGGATATACCCAAAAGGCGAGCGGGAAACGGCCTTCGACTGAGTCAGCCCTGACCCATCCAAGTCAGCCCAGTGTCGTCGTTACTGGCTGCCCGCTGCTCTCCAGCACTGGAAGTGGCAGGGCCTGAATTTGGGACCTTCTGCAAGCCGGAATTCCACCTGCGTGTCCGGGGATGCGTTTGTCTGCCTCGTATCATGGTTGGCTACCTTTAGCAGAGCTTTTGTAAGAAAACTGGGTGTGTTATGGAAAAACAACTCACAAGGAACTTCTAAAGGGAACTTGTGTGGTTGCCGCAGAGTATGTCTGAAGGTGCTTTAAAGTGGGGTGCATAGAGAGGGGAAGGGCTTGCGAAAGGTGACAGAGTGCTGTGAATGGAGGGATGCAAAAGGTGACAACTAGGTCTTTTCCTTCATCAGGACCTAGTTGTCACTGAGGAGGTTAACATGACTCTGAGCTTGTAACACTTCAGGTTGATGGTAAGTGCTCACATAATGAAAGCTCCATATTAAAAAAAAACAATAAAAATAACATTCTACATACACAGAATCTAGCATTGCATCTCCGTGAGAGGGTATTGCGTGGGCAGACTTTTGCATTTTGTGAGTAGAGCAGGGTAAGAACAGCCCTGCGGGATCCAACCAAAGGCCTACCCAGTCCAGCATTTAGTTTGCATAGTAGCTAATCTGCAGAGGGCATTAGGTCGACAAGCGAGCCCACAAGTGCAATAGTTTGGCTTGGTCAGAAACCCAAGAGAACAGGATGAACACTGATTGACTGGAAATCAGCTATTGAAATATATTTGCTCTTCTAATGCCGGAGAAATTGGAGACTTACTTCTGAGTAAACATTCGCTGTTGACTTTCACATGTATCCTTTTCTCTCTCTGCAGTTCTTGTGGCTGTAAACCTATATCCGCTCACTAAGGACTGAACTCAGCGGAACTGTCTCCTGAGTAGACACATAAATTGCACTGAAAATTATTATTTTCCTAATTCTATCTTTGATTTTGTGAGGTATATTTACTGGCACTATAGCCTGTAGGGAGTAGGAAAGGGCTTAACGAAAAGTCCGTATTGTATGCCATTAAATACGGCAGATCCTTTGACTTTGCTTGTGAGGGGGAAAAATGGCTGCCTTAACATATGTACTGGAAATGGAATCAGAAGACTATGTTACCGAGGGGTGCGGGGTTTTTTTATCACTAAACCATGGTTTCTCATTATGATGTTAAGCCTCTGTGAATCTTAGCTACCCATGCAGCCATGTCTCTCCCTCCATCTTGTTTGGTTGTCAGGAGTAGATAGGAAACTTCCAAGGAAATATTTCATTAACTGCGGTTTAGCCCCTAAACCGTGGATAATCTTAGCAATGGCCAACTGAAACAACAGCATAATGAACAGTGGGTTGACACCGGCTTGTTTTAGCGAGGAATGTTAAGTCCAAACACAGTGGGAAGGTCTGCATAGCATTGGCAACTCACTGTGGCGATTTAGTATCAAGGATGGGTCGGTTCTGCGAAGCACCCCCAGTGAGTCTGGGCTCACTGGGGGTACTTGACTCTCTCCCTCCCCTTCTGCCTCCAAGCAGCATCCAAGGGTATTCCTTAGAGGGAATGAGGCACCTCCCTCGCAGCTAGATAGGAATCTTCTGTTGAGAAAGGAGTGCTGGGGGGGATTCCTCCCCCTCAGCAAGATTGTCCAGTTCACAAGATTTATGGCCCATGAGGTTGCCCCTGTGGACTTTTTCCTGACCTCCTAGGCACTGGGGAAAGCTAAAAATGCACCCCCTCCCACTCTTTTTATAGGGAAAACCAGTTGTCAGTTCAATGATGCCTCCTGCCAAAACTCTGGATCCTGCAAGGGGAGCTTTGAAGGGGATCTTGAGGAGGGATGTATTCTTCTACCCACCCCTGCTCGCTTCTGTGACCTGCCAACCTAAAGCCTGCGGTGTAAGGGAAGTTGTCAGGCCTCTGCCGAGCGCTGCGGCTGTGCTCGGGCGATCTCCGGGAATGAGGCAGCTCGGAAGGAGGCACGGTGCTCGCTGTGTTGGTACCTGGAGAGGTGTAGGATTTTTCTGCTGGGCTTCATGCAGTGCCAGAGGGGAACGCTTCCTGGCTCCACATTCGCAGAGGCACACACAACACTTGGAAAGCAAGGGAGGCTGATTCAGCAGAAAGGACAGAGCAAGTGCAAAAGTCTTAGCCCAGTGTTGTCCAGGCAGCAAATACTCCTTTCGCATCCCCATTGTTCTTCCTAAACAGACAAAACGCCTTCTGCCTTATGGATAAAACAGAACACTTCTGGCCCTTCATTTGCCCTGTGCGATCGACTCTTCCTGCTGGAAGAGCAGGGGGTGAAGTCCCCCTGTTCAGACCATGCCAACTCCCAGTTCTAAGCCCCTGGCTCTAACTCTTAACCCGGGTTTGCTTCCCTGGGAAAGGAAAGCTTCCCATTGTTTCTCAGTCTCATGCTAATTGCTCGATTGGTGCTTGATTGTTCTTGAGGGCCATGTCTGTTTTCTGCTCTGAAAGCTGTGCTCTTTTGTCTGTGCTCACTGGCTACTGTGGATGGGGTAATCGCAACAAGTCTCACTCTTTTTCTTTGACCCCCTGGAGATGTTATTGTGCTCTTTCAGGGCAGCGGCAGGCAGCCATCCTTGCAGGGTCGTTTTGCCAGGCTTTTTAAAGGAGAAATCTCTTCAGGTTGTGCCTGGCATTTTCTCCGCGGGAATTGCACCATTCATTCCCCACCAGGCATTCTCTTCTCATTCACCCTGGCTAGCTCAGGCCACTGGATCACTTCTGCAGAACTCCCGCTTATCCGATGCTCTTCCTGGCTTGTGAGTGTGCCCATGCAGCGCCAGCGTCGATATTAATTATATGCACATGCTGCTCCGTGTGGGCCTGGAACCCCTCTGCAATGTGCCCCAACAGAGGCTTGGATTGTTCTCATTAGAGCTTCTATGCAGACACTTCAGGGGCATTTTAAAAAAATGGCGTTCTGGCTACACAAAAATAATAACAGAAATACTGGGCAGCCCCACCAAAGTGCAACAACTTGCCAAAACTGACCCCCCACCCGCAGCTGGCTGGCCTTGGCGGGGGGGGTGGGGGGCGGCAAGGTGCTTCTCGCTGAGCCGCTTGCTGGCGGTTTGTCTTGCTGGGACATATTTTGTAGTATTACAAGAGCCACAGAAAAAGAAAACCATGAATAGTGAGTGGATTTGCAGGCGTGATAAGCGAACCCTGATCGTTATTGTTTGGCTGGTTGGTGGTTGTGCAAACCCAGTCATTGTTTCAGTTCAAACGGTCGTTCCTGCTTTGACCACTTGCATCTAAACTCATCTTTGTGGTCCCACCAAAGGGGTGCGAATTGTCTGAGTCCCAGACTTGCGCTAGCTTGCCCTTGTAATTCTGAACCATGACTTCATTACATGCGAATAGCAATAGAGGAAACAAAATGTTGATTCTGGAATCGGTGGTTGATAAAGCCTGTGTTTCTGCCATCTCTGAAATCAGTCCTATAGCTGAAGTTGTCTTTGCGCATTTCCAGTTAAGTGCTGAGGTGAGGGAGGTTAGGCTGAAACTCTAATCATTGAAATAGTAAAACAAGGGCTGCCCAGCAACAAGTATTCTGGAAAGAAATATTGGAGCTTCCTGTGCTTTGTTCAAGCAGACTTCTGCTCGTTTGGTGGGATGGGTCTCCTAAATGTGCTTTCCTAAATGTGTACTGGAGAGCCTAAGATTCCTCTGAAGCAGGGCGGGGGGGGCTGCATGTAGGAAGCACATTCCACCTGTGCTACCTATTCACTGGAAGAAGGGCATAATCGGATATATCCCTTTCTGTTGGAAATTAGCTGCCAGAGGCAGGTCTGGTGAAAGAAGATTAACCGACTACAAAATGAATCTGAAAATGAACCTGTTCAGTGTAGCAAATCTTTACTGCCTTCTTTCTAGTTAATAAGCCTAAAGGTTGCTTTTCTGGAACAGTGGTTCAATTGAAAGGTTAAAGAAGCCACATATGAAGAGAGACAATGTAAAGATAACATTGTCAAGAGGCTTGGGTATATTGTCGCATAGACCCCGTGGCAAAAAGGCAGTTTGATCTGTATGCTTTTCTTTTTAATAGAGCAGTTGGATGTGGTGTCTACTTAATGTTTTAAAGCTACAGTGCCATGGATGATGAAACAGGAGAAGACCTACAGTGCCAGCGCTAGGACATTTTTGTGCCTGACAATGCGTTGGAGAATGGCTGTGAACCAAACGAGACATGGTGGTCACAGAGACATACTCTTCTTTTTTGCCTGGTTCAGATAATAAGTGAGGGCGCTCTGCATGTGTTGTACTTT